AAAAGTGGATGTGTCAATTTAATGCGAATTCTTATCAAAACTCGAATTTTTAAAGTTTTTTTGCACTAAAAGATTTTTTTTTTAAAAAAAATAGTTCGGATTTCTGAAATCCGATTTCACTGTTCATTTATTAAATTTTTAAACTTTCCCAATATATATAAAATTTTAAATTTTCCCGTCCTTCAGTTTTTTTTATAAAAAAATTATGTTGGGGATGCTCCCGGATTTCGGAAATCCGAGTTTACTGTATACATTTTGACCTTGGTTCTTTTTTTTTTCAAAATTACAAAAAAAAATAATTTATTATTTTATATTTATTCGGATTTTCGAAATCCGAAAGTCCTATTTATTAGACTTTCGGATTCGCCAAATCCGAGACAACTACTTATGTCCACCGAATTTTTTTTTGTCCGCATCAATTCTTTTTAATTTTTTTAGCCGAAGGACCCGAGGAACCACTAGATGCATTTTTTACTAATCTATCCGCAACTGAATTAGCCTCCCGATTTATATGTGAAATCTCAAAATTATTCTTTCAAATGATAAACACCATCTCCTTCAAAATAGAATAATAGGACCACAAGAAGACCTTACCCAGCTTCAAAATATCAGCTAAAGTCTTGTTATCCGTTTGGAACGTGACATTGTTAAGCCCTAACGAATCACATTTCCTTAGCCCGAATAAACCTCCAAAAACTTCAGATTTGAAGCTATCTCCCTCTCCCAAATATCCACTTTCCCCATACATGAAATGGCCTCCTTCACCTCTGATTACGAATCCATATCCATCATCATTTGGACAAGACGATCCATCCATATTCAAAATGAAAGAATTAGCTGCTAAAGGAACCCAAGCCACTTTCCAAACCCTAGCTTCAATAACTCGATTTAGGTTTATTCCAAAAGTTGCTTTGAAGAAATCCCTTTCCGCAACATCTTGTACTTTTAAGTTATTGATCATCAAAATGGGGCGAAGGAGATCCATTGTTGCATGTATAATGCACGAAATACTAGATCGAGTTCCATCATAGATCACCTTGTTACACGACTTCCAAATTTTCCAAAGTATAAGCGAAGGAAGCACCTTACGAAGCGCACCTTGGGCTGTTTTGATGTCGCCTTCCCTCACCACATTCTAAGCATTGAAGCAAGGGAATTAACACCCCGTATATTAAGTCTAATCAAAGCCGCAAAATGCATCCATAATTGACGACCCTGCGGACACTCAAAGAAAGTGTGCTCAAGTCCATCACCATGATTCAAACAAAAGCAACAAATCGAAGGCTAAACTTGTATTCCAATCTGCTCAAAACCTCAAGAAAGGGCAACAAATGATTCCTCAACTTCCATAGGAAAATAGATATTTTAATAGGAATAAGCGAGCTCCACACATTATTAATCAAACCCTCCTTCGCATGGCTACGACATAACACCTCATAAGCCGATTTGACTGTGAAGAATCCACTAGAAGTATGCTGCCAAAATAACAGGTCATCTTCATCGTGAAAATCATGGAAAAATTCAGAAATGTAATGAATTATATGAAGCGGAAGGATATCTTGAACCATACTCAAGTAAAAGGCTTTATTTTGAAAGAATCTTTAATAATTCTCAGCTTCGGACAAGGAGGTTCTTCATGATGATCACTCCAAAGAATACCATAGGGAGACCAATTATCATACCAAAAGGAATGATTTCCTCCTCGAACAATGACCTTCGTATGGGAGATAACATGCTGCTCAATCTTCATAATTCTCCTCCATGAAGTAATTCCCGTAGCCGAAGGAGATAAAGAACTCAGAAATCTACTCCAAATGCCCTTCTGTTGCTTCCACTTCCACCAAAGTTTGGCCGTTAATGCTTTAATAGTGTCATTGAAACTACGGATACCCAAGCCATTTTCCAAGACAGGAAAAGTCAACCTATCCCAAGCCCGCCAATCCTTTTTTCTTCACTAGCTCCGCACCATAAGAACTTTTGGTAAATATTCTCCATCTTCTGGATAGTAGCTTTTGGGGGCGGAATGGCAGAGAAAACATGAATCGGCATAGAGGCCAAGACATTTTTAATTAAGACAAGGCGGCCACCTAAACTCAAGAGTTTATTCCTCCAGCTCAGAAGCCTACTATTCAAATTGTCCAATAGAATTGATAAAAGGAAGCCTTGCGTCTTCTCGGGAATAGGCGACATCCAAGCTAAACAAAAAAGAAACTTCCTTTCTGAATATCCAAAGCATTGTGAATAATCTCTACCCTTCCCGCAGGACAATTTTCAGCAACCATGAACGAGCTCTTGTATCTACTAATGCGCTGGCCAGAAGCATTTTCATACTCAATGAAAAATGCATTAAGCCTATGTAGCGATCTCTTCAAACCCCGAGAGAAAATTATAAGATCATCCGCAAATGCAAGGTGAGAAACAATCATTGAGCTCAAAGGTACCCCAAAAGCCGCTACCCTTCCAGATAACACTAAAGCATTAAGCCTTCTCGTCAAAGCTTCCGAAACCAAAATAAATAGATACGGAGATAAGGTATCCCCTTACTTTATACCGCGAGATGATTGGAAAAAGCCAACCGGTCCTCCATTAATCAAGATAGAAAACCAGCTATTTCGGAGGTTATTCATGACCAAAAGGACAAAGGAATTCGGAAACCCAAATTTAAGCATGATTTTTTTCCAGGAAACTCCATCAAATGCCTTCATCATGTCCAGTTTAAGAACAAAATTCCTCCCTTCATACTTCCTGTTCAGAAACTGACATAAATCTTGTGCTTACAACACGTTAGCAAATATACCCTGGCCCTCCAAGAAAGCTGATTGTTCCTCCGAAATAAGTTTTGGCAAAACCCTTTTCAATCTTTCAGTGCGAACTTCAGTAAATACTTTATTCAAGAAAACTGCATAGACTTATGGGTCTATAGTCCGAGAAAGTATTTACCGTAGCCTTCTTCGGGATTAGAGTAACAAGAGTGCTTGAGATAGCTCTAGGTAGAGGAACACCAAGCATAAAATCATAACAAGCCAACAAAAGGTCATGTGCAACAATGTCCCAATAGGATCTATAGAATGTTCAACCAAAACCATCAATAACGGGCACACTATCTTTACTCAGATTAAAAACCGATTCTTTCAGTTCCTCCATTGTAATCTCTTGCATGAACAATGCTGCATTTTCAGTAGCTAAAATAGAGGGAATATGCTCCAAAAATAATTGCTGCGAATATGCCCCATATACCTTATCATCATCATCACTTAAAAGACTTGTAAAAAACCTCACCGCCTCACGTTCAATATCAGAATTACAGGTTAACATGCGGCCGTCTTCAGCTTTGATTTTAAAGATACTTTTCTTGACCCTTCTCTCCTTTAATGTTGCATGAAAAAATGCTGTATTCACGTCCTCCTCCTTTAACCATTTGAGCTTCATTTCTAAGACCAAAAGTCATCATGTTCTTTGAGCTTCCGCAGGAAATTAGCCTTGGCTTCATTAAGATTAATTCTATCATGCTTCGACCTTGATAAATCATGTATAATATCAAGACACTGGACATTCTCTTCGGCCAACTTCAAATTTTCAAATACATTACCAAACACCCCTTTATTCCATTCTTTTAACTTCACCTTTAAACGCATGAGTTTCAAGGAAAAGGGAAGCATCCCGGTTTACTCCAGTAGTAGATCCCAGCAATCTTTAACAATCCCTTTAAACTCATCCCGACATAACCACATTTTCTGAAAACGAAAAATCTTCGGCTTGCTTTCACCTTGCACAGCAAATAAATGCAACAAAGGACTATAGTCAGAGGTAGTCCTATTTAAATTCTCCCCGGAGGATCGAGGAAAAAAATCATTCCATTCATTAGAGATTCAAACCATGTCCAATTTCTTACTCACCCACCCTGTGCTTCTAGTACCTCCCCATGTAAACTCTTCACCGGTTGTCGGAAGCTCAAGAAGGTTGCACTAAAAAATACAATCATTAAATTCAGAATTAGCCACATGATCCTGCATAGAAACACCTGAATATTCTTCTAAAGAGCGGATTACGTTGAAATCCCCAGCAACCATCCAAGGGGAATTCATATATCTTTGCCGAAACGCAACCAGATTCCTCCACAAAGGTTGTCACACAATTCTGGTGGTTTTTGCATACACTGCCGAAAGATAGAACTTTTCAGCAATATTGGCATGAGTCACTTCAAAATGCAAGACTTGAATATCTTCCTCCAAAATGGTTACTGAAAAATCATGTTGACAAAACACCCAAATTTCGTTATTACTAGAAGCATAGGCAGTATCAAAATTCAACTCCCTTTGAGTGCGGTGAAGTTGATCTAGTCCCAGCATAGGCTCCAAAATAATTAAAAAGGAAACCCTATATGATTGAATAAGAGATCTCAAACGCCGCTGCGACGCTTGATTCTTTATACCTCGAATGTTCCAAATTATTTGACTTAACATTAAAAAAATATGTAAGAAATGGAAGCTTTTTATAGTAGCCGCGACGACCGCCTTGGGACCAGGTCCCCTTGCTTTTTCACATTTCCTTCCCCTTGCATTTTCTCTTTTTCTTCCTTCGACTTTCGATTTGCTTCTTATGTACATAACCTTCCCTTTGCACTGATCTTGTTACATGAACGTTGTCGGCATCTCCATCTGACCAGATACCCTGGTCAACATCTTCCATTCAGATTTTGAGATTTTTCCGATATCACCATCATCCAAACACACACCAGTATCCAAGGACCTGTATTCGCAAGTATCAAAGCATCACGAGAGGCATCAACTACTTCAGCATCAATCAGTAATTCACGTTGAATAGGGTCTTGAGTTGGAGGGTTCTCAACATACACATCTTCAATATACTCATCCCTTCTACGATGACAACTTCATTCACTATTTCTTCTATCATCTCAAGAGCTACAACATTATTTGTGGTCACGTTTGCAGGGATAACTTCAGAGGAAAAAATAACAGCACTTGCAACGATTCCCGTCCCTAGAGATAATTCAACATCACCATCATCCACATCTTGCAGCACCAAAATTTATTTTCATATTGCGGAGGAATAGGGTTAACTACATATTGAGGAACCACCTCATTCCTCTTAGGAGACGACTGGAGATTAATCAAGGTCAGCTCCTTCTCCTTCACAGTCAAACCAGAAGTCGATTCAACCCGTCGCTGCTCTAGGGTTTCCATAACTTCGGCCTCGAGAGTGCGTGCGCCTAGGGTTTCCGCAGGTGGCGATGAAGGACCAGACGACTCCCTAGCTACCAGTTCAATTCCTTTAGCAATCAAAGGATTTAAATTCAGAGTATCCACATCCAAACCATGCTTTTCATTACCTCGCTTGAGAGCCAACTTAGGTTTCGACGGAGCTAGTTTAATTCCCTTCTTCTTCCCAAGTGAGGGTTCAACATCGTCACTCCGCAGAATCGACTTTCCAATCCGGCATTCCGAATCCTTGTGACCAATCTTGCTACACTTAACGCAGTAAGAAGGAACATGCTCAAAGGTAAATAATTGCTCATGTTTACGACCCTTCTTCCCAACCCTCACCGATTTGGGCAAATCTTTGGTAAGGTCGACTTCGACACAAAACCGCACAACAAAGGGGCTAGTCATGTTCAAAGTAGGCGTATCAACCTTCAATGGCTGACCCAAAGAAGTCGCCATCGAATAAATCACCTCCGGATGCATAAATTCAATAGGTAAATCATAAAGAGACACCCAAATAGGCACCACCGGCGGGTCTTCTTCAAATCGGAAACCCGGAGTCAACTTCAAGATTCTCATTGAGAACCCTCCAATATTCCAGAACGTCCTTATCCAACAACATTGGCAGTCATCTTTCTGCTCAAAATGGATCAACACATGCCTAGGGTTCATAAGCCCTAGGGTATAGCTACCATTGAAACTGATTTTATTAAATTCCTCGTGCACTTCTTCCATTTTTGGCCGCCCGTATGAGAACTTCCCGACCAATCTCCAGCAATGTGGGGCAACCAACCTATCGAATTCATCATCTTCGAACTCCAAAATAGGAGTTCCATTGACAAACTTGACTTTCTTGATTAGCAAGTCTTTGTTTGATGAGACATCTTATGACTTTTTGAAGAAACTTGCAAAAGACCTTGGCGGTTCACATGGAGCCACCGGTTGCGAAGCACCGGCCATTGTGGCCGACTCCCCTAATGGCCGTCACAATTAGGGTTGCGTTTGAAAGCTAGAGAGAAGCGGGAGTTGAGAGAGGAAAATGGGAAGCGGTGCAGGTTATTAGAACTTAAGACCTATAACCGAATACGTTATTGATATATAATTAGAAAAATTAATTCTACCTTTGGTTTTTATTAGAAGATATTTTGATTTTTCTAAATTTTATTTATCATTTTTTTCAATTAAAAATACTTTATAATATTTGAGAGAACACAATAAATTTAAAAATACATTTTGAGGATTTTATTTTCAATTTGAAGAACACAATAAATAAAATTTAGAGAAAATTAAAATAGTTTATAATAACAATGACAAGAAAATTCACTAGTCATGAATTTTATCTTTTTGTAAAAGAGATAGGTATAATGACCAAAAACAAGAGAAAAATTTCATGGAGAGAAGGGGAGCCAAGATCAAGCCTTTCCCCGAAGTCTCAGTTCAGTCCTTAGAAAATTTCGAATGATTAACACAACAAACAAGTAAAGAAAAACAGGCAGCCAGCTGTCCTTTTTTTTTTTTCACATCCAAATTAATTGAAGTCAAAAGGCATATATAATAGCAGCTGCAACAAAAACCATCGACGAATCGCAAAAACAAAAATGGCCATTTGTTTGATTAGAAAAACAAATGTAGATAGGCCATTGTAGCCTCCGTTTCAAGCAACGTATGCCAAAATGAACACTTTACGAATACGAATGTTGAGTGCTACGTTTATGTCTGAATTAATGATGAGCGTACATTAAAACGAATTGCATGTCCGTGTAGATTACATAATAGAATCAATTACATTCTTGTGCGTGATTCACATGTATAAGTGAGATTTCCAACGGTTTTATATACTACCTCCATTTTTTTTTTATCTGTCTCTTTAGATGAATCCAAAATTTAGATTTCAATTTTTTTTTCTATCACACTTCATTTTTAAAATTTGGATTAATGACAATTACCTATTTTTTTACTTTAATTTCAAATATTTGTAGAGTTTCAATACTTTTAATTAGGAACAAGAAAGGTATTATACTTAAAAATTAAATTACTACCAATCATTATTTTTTTAATGCATATGTAAACCCTAAAACGATAAATGAAAAAAATGGAGGTAGCTTTTATTTAGATTTAAGAACGACAACATAAACGGAGAGTTTAATGGAAGGAAATTATTTAATTAATATATAATTGAACAAAAATACAGAAATATCAGAAGCTATGAAGGAGGATATATGATCTAACGCTATAGTACACAGAGTCACAGATGCTCCACTTCTAGAAAGTATAAATCTTCCATGAGCGGTTCTCCTTGGTCTCTTCCACTATATAATACTACTAGGTCCTGCCATGTTTACCAGTTATCATCATTCAAGAACATCCATCTTTAATGTAGGGCTTTTGACCTAAATGGAATCATCACTGTTCCCAAGTTCCCAATAACATTTAAATGCACAGCAGCTAGAATATCTTTTATTGTTTTTTCTTTCTTTTTTGATTTTTGTTAAAGAGAAAAAGGGAAATGGATAACGTTTACCGTTTAGAATCTTGCGGAAAAAAGTATCAAGCCATGATTATTTAAGCACGAGGTAATTTACAATTCTTAGTCAATCATTTAATTAAATGACCATAACCTTTAATTAGAAGGTGTTCTTAATTAAATTTGAAATTAATGTTACCTAAATATCACTAAGGCTTTTCTTTGAGTAAAGAAGGAGGTATATTTTAAACCAACCATATTGTACGAATTACTTTTTGTGAGTAGGAAATTTTGAAAATATCGTGTTTCAATTAGAGAATTGTGTAATGTAACCCTAGCGACCCGAAAACGAAATAACTGGTTGCGAAATTAATATGTTTTCCAACTTTACAGAACCAAGGTTTTCATTCTCCTTATGTGGAAATAATATCGTTCCTACTCAAACTTTTCCTTCGTCGTCAATTATACCCAATAGATTTTCGGTTAGCCAACTTTACCCTAATGTTTGAAATTTTTGCTAATTTCGTCCAATCGGCCTATTTTCCATCTAAATTAACGGATCTCAGTTAGTTTTTTAATAAAATAATAAATTTAATTACATAAACACCCTAGTAATTTTTAAAAATTTTAAAAATAACCCCTAAAATTTATAAAAATAACAAAACAGTCCCTTTTCACTTTTTTATTTTATTTTTATCTTTCTTGTTCAATTTCTCTTTACTACATTTAATGACCATAAAAGTATATTATATGATTTTTTAAAAAACATTTATTTATTTTCAAACTATTCTGTAAAAATTATTCTTTGTATAGTTGTAACCCATGCTTGTATTTATATAAGTATGTTAATTTTTTTAATAATATAGTTTAGACTACATACACTATTTTTCTGATTTATTTTATTCTTCCTAACATAAAGATTAAAAACATTTAAATGAAACTAATATTCCACATAAAATAAAATATTAGCTCAGATAAAAAAATATTAATATATTTTAGTGTATTACAATTTCACCCAAGAGACTATAACTTGCATTAATATAATTCATAAAAAAATAACTAAAATATAAAATAATTAAGACACTACTTTTCTAATTTATTTTATTCTTCCTAACATAAAGATTAAAAACATTTAAATGAAACTAATATTCCACATAAAAATAAAATATTAGCTCAAATAAAAAAATATTAATACATTTTAGTGTATTACAATTTAACTCAAGAGACTATAACTTGCATTAATATAATCCACAAAAAAATAACTAAAATATAAAATTTTAAAACCTTAAAAAAAATCCTACAAACATAAGTTTTCCTTCCTGAATCTAAAACCTATTTTCTATCACAACAGCTTTTTTTTTTGACTCTCTATCACAACAACTTATTACTATATTGTTACCTCTATTCATTTATTTTAAACTAAAATCATATAGAATAAGCTACTAAGACTTCCTCTATTATAAGATATATTAATATCTCAAATAATTATTACAAAATATTAAATCCTCGCATTGATAAGTATAAACATTTTTTTTATAAATTATATTATGCTATGTAGTCTCTCTAGTTAAATTGTAATACACTAAACTATACTAATATATTATTTTTTATTTGAGCTAATATTTTATTTTTATGTGGAATATTAGTTTCAATTAAATATTTTTAATCTTTATGTTAGGAAGAATAAAATAAATCTAAAACATAGTGTCTTTATTGCTAAACTATATTATTAAAAAGATTAACATGCTTATATAAATACAATCATGTGTTACAACTATATAAAGATTAATTTTTACGTTAGAGTTTGAAAATAAATGAATATTTTTTAAAACTCATATAATATGCTTTTATGGTCGTTAAAAGTAGTAGAGAGAAATGGAACAAAATAGAGAAAAATGAAATAAAAAAGTGAAAAGGGACTATTTTGTTATTTTTATATATTTTAAGGGTTATTTTTAAAATTTTTAAAAACTACTGGGGTATTTTTGTATTTAAATTTATTATTTTATGAAAAAACTAACGAAAATCTGTTAATTTGGACAGAAAATGGGTCGATTGGACGAAATTGGCGAAAATTTCAAACATTTGGATAAATTTGGCTAACCAAAAATTTATTGGGTATGACTGACGACGAGGGCAAAATTTTGGGTAAGAACGACATTTTTCCCTCCTTCTGTAAACTAAATTCTGTCATCCAAAACTAGTCCTTAGGGTCCAATTAGGTTACTACAGAGATCCACTAACAAAAAATATTCTATAGATTTTACCAGTTGGTTACGTGTTCTAAGTCTTCTGGATGTTAGGTATTACGAACAACTTGACAGCACTAAAAAAACGGAACTTGAAGTCTACCTAGAACTCGCTACTAACAAATGACGACAATTGCAAATTTCATTTGAGCTTGTTCAGTGAAATCTTATGTCATAATCACCTAAAAATATAGTACAACTAAATACATAAAATAGGAAGAAAAAAAAAACTTCTGAATGGCTCTACTGAAATGTGTGTATTGATATGAGGATCATGAAGTTTCACGGTGATTGGCTTATTGGATTATATCTATTGATGTATAAATGTAGAACTTGTGAACGTGGTTATAGTGAAATGTGATAACTAATAATAAGACATACAAAGACATAATAGCAAATCATTGCACAACTTTCTCAAAATTTTGGTACAATAAGGTAGGAGTCTTGAAGTAGTACAACCACATCAATATGATACGAAATTTGTATAAACAAAAATCGTGACTGAATCACTATCAAATATCATTTATGATTCTTTTCCAAGCGATTCTAATTTCATAGTAGAGTTATGAAATGAAAGAGAAGATAATCGCATCATGTAATTTCAATGTCTCTATCATTGTTCTAAGGCAATCACTTACATAGAGCATTACAATGTGTCGGTTAGAGAAGCAATTGATTTCACAAATGATGGACTTCGCCATCATGCCCAACCAAAAATGGGTGAAAAAAGGTTCACTCATCAAAAGAAACAGGCTCCCCTTTGGAATATAGACCAGAAGATGGTAAAGTACATTAAGATGGACAGAAAGATGGCCAGATTCAAAAACAGTGAGCCACTGCTCGAAAAGACATATATTTATTATGCTAATTAAAACTCATACAAAAATGTACACATTTGGGAAAGTGGAACTTCTTTTTCAGTTTTTTTTTGGTGTTATACATTTGCCTCAAATCACTTCATCAAATTCCCACCATCATATGTGCATGTGCACCTTCAAACCATTTACATTGAGAAAAACAAGTGTTCCTGTTGCGATCATTTCATATTTGTTCATCTAGCAGTTGACTTAGACGACATAAAAGCTCTCCACAAAACTTGAATTGGATACATTGGCTGGAAAGTCTTTCAATTTCAGTATTTTAATTGATTGGTTTTGTCAATCATCAGTTTTTAGGGGATAGGATTTTATGTGATGTTTTTCAATAATTGTAATTTATGTGAGTAATTTATAAAGAATGTAAGAAAAAAATATAAAAAAATTTATAAAGAATGATATGTCAAATATTTAAACTATCTTTTTTTTTTTTGATATAGAAAAAGAGGTAAAAGCCTGAAAGTACTAGGTCGTTTCAATCTTAGGGTATGATACCCCAATAATGTCATGTTCTAACCATGGTTTAACTCCTGGTGGAGGATATTCAAATCAAAACAAACCACCCGATCCATCTGCCACCCAAAAAACCAGATAATCCGCTACAAAATTTGCTTCAAATGTCTAAATTCCAAAATGAACCATTCCTTTCTTTATAATTAATACTAACACTTTGGCCAATAATAAATCGACCGTATAGTGATTAATGCATGTACAGTATTTGTTGCATGAGACCTTTTGCAAGTTTGCAAACTTTAATTATCTTTAGAATTAACTATTACAACTGGATCACCATTTTCTCACTATGAGAAGATGGGAAAATAGGCATTACTCCACCTTTTTGTTATTGTTTCCAAGTGAATTTCTCTCTCGGCCGCAACCCCCCCCCCAACCTTATAAGAAACTCGTCTTCCCCCATATTGAGAGAAATAGTTTTTAATCAACCTTTTGGTTATTGTTTCAGGGTTTTTAGTACTTATCTTCAAGTTTTAGTCCTTAACAAATCTTAATATGCTGATTGTGTTATGTCTTTTTAAATATATTGATTGTAGAAGTTATTGCTCGACGATTGATACTCACTGGATATTGTTGATAGTGGTTCTTATTAAAAAACATGCAATTATCATAGATCTAATTATTAGATTTATGAAATGGAATTTTCATCAGAAGACAAGTAATATATTCGAGACCATTATTTAGTACGTGACTTATCTAACAAGTGAATAATTCAACCGAATAGATTTAGATACGAATCGGTTGAATATTAGTAAATTCAATGCTTTTTAATTAAATATCATGCATATGGGGAACGCTATTATTTTTAGCGGCTGTGTTTTTTCACTCTCTCAACCTTGCTGGACAGATTCCAATAAAGGTAATACAAAGTTTTGGTTTAAAAAAAAAAAAAAAAACTGGATCACCAGTTACTAAATGTAATCAAGCTGCATCATCCTATTATATGGACAACGTACCTACTGAACAACACCCTTGTGATCATGGGGAAAATGCAGCTTTGAAGGTTATCTATGTAAAAGTGAATCCAGACCGATCTTTTTAACATATATCCCTTCGGCTATTATAGATAGAAGAAGATCTCTGCCCACTTTCCTATCACTTATCTAGTACCCCCATCAACTTGCAAGAGTTGAAGAATGTAACTAAGAAATTCATCAACATTTAGTGAAGGCTTTTTATTTGGATTCACAAGTAAAAGATTCTTCTTTGAGATTCATCTGATCCATGTCTCTTCCAATGCTTGAAAAAACATGTTTGCATCACACATTGAAGGCTTTTCCTTCCTTTGATAAGCATCAACTAATGTTAAAAGAATAATATTATTCATGATCTCTTTTTTCAAATAGAAGTATCACTATCAGATTAATATGCCCTTTTAATGTAAGTGGAGTAAAAGCATACCAAGAAAAAGTTCAAATAAACAAAACCATATTAATTAGCATTATACTTGACCATATAAGCATCACTTATAAAAGCCATGAAACCATTTCTTGTACTAGTAACTCATTAGTTGAACTTACTCCAAAGTTTCATGCACATTTGATAACCAATAATCAGTGAGTTAGATTCATGGAGGGCTTGAAAGAGCCCTCTGAGCTCTCCAAAACACTTGAAACAACTATGGAACAGAAAGAAAGCTTTCTGTTGTCCCAATCAGATGACAAACATGGAGTTGAACTCATGGCTTCAGACACTGAAAAGGGTGTCTCTCAGTTCTCCCAAACACTTCAAAAAACAACAGGTTCACAAAACCTGGAAACTCCTGTCATTCTAGCTGAAGATAAGCAAGCTAATGAAAGAGTTCAATGGGTACTTAATGCACCAGAACCACCAGGTCTATGGTGTAAGGTGCAGAACACCTTTAATGAATCTTTCTTTAACCTGAAGAGCAACTTTCAAGGTCTCAGGGAGCATCCTTGGTCCAAAATTGTGGGAAGTTTGTTCCCTATCTTTACTTTATTGTCTAAAGGATACAATGTGAAAATGTTCAGGAATGATCTTTTGGCTGGTCTGACACTAGCCAGCCTCTGTATTCCTCAAGTAAGTAGTTAATTAAGGATGGTTCTTTCCGTTGTAGAATTTTTCTGTTTTGATTTCTTCTTATGTATGTCCTGGTACTTTCTATAGAGCATTGGCTATGCAACCCTGGCTAAGCTAGCTCCTCAGTATGGTCTTTGTAAGTATTTTTTTGTTCTTGATTCGAATTCGTTAATTTGATATCCTAAATCTGGAAAATGAAGAATGCAACATAGTTAACCCGAAAGTTGCAAACGCCTCTTTGATGGATTAATGACAGATACTAGTGTTGTTCCACCGCTTATCTATGCTTTACTGGGCACTTCAAGAGAGATAGCAATTGGACCAGTGGCTGTGGTTTCTCTTCTTTTGTCCTCCATGGTTCAGAAGCTGGAAGACCCTGCCGCGAATCCTGTTGCCTATACCGGACTGGTGATCACTGTTACATTTTTCACTGGTATTTTTCAATCTGCGTTTGGAATGTTCAGGTAAAATCATTTTGTTGGAATAAGGAAACAAGTTTTGAAATCTTCATATATTTGTTGTTGCAACATATATACTGAATTTACAGGTTGGGATTTCTGGCTGATCTTCTTTCCCATGCTGCTATTGTTGGATTCATGGGTGGTGCAGCTATCATGATTGGCCTTCAGCAGCTTAAAGGATTGCTTGGAACTTCCAAGTTTACAAACAAAACTGATATTATCTCTGTTCTAGCTGCTGTTTGGAGATCAATTCATGATTCAGTAATTATTTCTAGAGACTTGAGAATTAACCAACAGCTTATAAAGTGTCAGAAATCTAACTTCTTTCTGTGTCTTGCAGTACTGGAGTCCTCACAATTTGATCCTTGGTTCCTTCTTTTTGAGCTTCATACTAATTACTAGATTCATGGCAAGTACAGTATCTTTAGACGTAGTTCTTTTACTAGTTGATCTTTCCTTCTTCAAGTATCGTGAATTTCTCATGCTTCTTTGCCTTGCCAGGGTCGAAGAAACAAGAAGCTCTTCTGGCTACCAGCTATTGCACCTCTTGTTTCTGTCATTCTGTCGACGCTCATTGTTTTTCTGACTAGAGCTGATAAACATGGAGTAAAGATAGTGAAGGAAGTTAAATCTGGATTGAACCCTATCTCTGTTCATCAGCTGCAGTTCAATGGAGAACATACAGGTGAAGCAGTCAAAATTGCACTAGTTGCTGCGATTGTAGCATTCACGGTTAGTCCACATATATATATTTCAGTAAAGGTTTACTTTAGGAAATCGTAATGTGGTATATATGCTGTGGTTTCTATTTATTTTTGTTTTGAAACTTCAGGAAGCCATTGCTGTCGGCCGATCTTTTGCATCTGTGAGAGGCTACCATCTGGATGGAAATAAAGAAATGTTAGCCATGGGTGTCATGAATATTGCAGGATCATTTACATCATGTTATGTTGCAACAGGTGAACCTCTTCCCTAAGTGATATATTCCAGGATCACATTCTGATCTGAACTTTTCAAAGCAAAAAACTTACCCCAAGCTGACAATTCATTTTGAACTTTTCTATGAAATGTATTGTTAAAATTCCAGGGTCATTTTCACGAACTGCTGTGAACTTCAGTGCTGGTTGCGAAAGTGTGGTGTCAAACATTGTAATGGCTGTTACGGTGATCATATCCCTAGAGCTTTTCACAAGACTCCTGTACTTTACTCCGGTGGCGATTCTTGCTTCAATCATACTTTCAGCTTTGCCAGGACTGATTGACCTAAATGAGGCTCACCATATTTGGAAAGTTGACAAGCTGGACTTCCTTGCTTGCATTGGAGCATTTTTTGGAGTTCTTTTTGCATCTGTTGAGATTGGACTACTCATCGCGGTAATTTCTTGAGACAGTTTTCATGCCTAAGGTTTCGTTGGGAACTCTGGCCAATCATTCTATTTTCTACTTTGAATAGAGTATGGTTCAGAGTGTTTAATGCACGAGCATCGGCACTGGTCTTCTAAAGTTACAGAACTTAATAGAAATTTAGAAGCTTTACTCCTGCTTTTTCTCATAGGTTGTCAAATGCTTTTTCCCTCCCTCCCTGGAAATATAGTTCCATAAATTAGTTCAAGTTTCCATGATGAATAGGTACTCGTTCCAGGTCAGTTTTTGGCTTCTTACTTCTCTAGGGTCTCTAGAAGTGAGGGGCACATGATGTACGTATGTGAATTTTACCTTGATCTCATGCCATTTTTACAATGTGCCACAGTTGATGAAACTTCCTCGATTCAGGTGGGAATATCATTTGCAAAGATACTATTGTGTTCCCTTCAACCGGGCACTGAAACTTTGGGCAGGATTCCAGGAACTGATGTATTTGTCGATATTAATCAGTATCCTATGGCTGTGGAAATTCCTAGAGTTCTTGTGACCAGGATCAAGCCTGCCTTTCTCTGCTTTGCAAATGCAAGTATCATCCGAGAAAGGTAACATATAAACTTAACAGTCTATCATGCACCTGGTATATGATCCTGCATGATTATTGACAGTTACGCCTTTGCGTAATTTTCTGTGCAGGATTGTCGAAGCGGCGACCATGATTCACCAAACTGATCCTGCAAAAACTACTGATGGAAAAATTCAATTAGCCATATTTGACATGTCAAGTGAGTTTCTATCTTTGTTCTAGTGATGAAATTTAATGGCACTTCATAGACTTAACTAAATGCTAACGTTTGGACTTTTCTGATAGACTTTGTTGTTTGCCTCCTTAATGACAACAGATTTGACTAACATTGATACAACAGGACTCTCAACTCTGAAGGAACTGCACAAAGATCTCACCTCAAAAGGGATCGAAGTAATCAAGTTTTACACCTTCCTTAGTTTTTTAAACTTTAAACCAAACTAAAATTCTTATCTGTTTCTCTCCTTTGCAGTTTGCCATCACCAACCCAAGGTGGCAAGTTATTCACAAGCTCAGGATGTCAAACTTTGTAGACAGCATTGGGAAGAATGTCTTCTTAACCGTCGGAGAAGCAATCGATGCATATTTCACCACAAAGATGGTCTGATTCACGAAATTGCAATTGTTGTGTGTGTGTGTTTGAGTCTTGTGTGTCTCCTAAGATCCTAAAAATGTAACAGGACAACCATGAGAGTTATAGGTTGTTACCTTTACAGCTAGAATCAAGGAATGCCAAATTATGTATTTGTATTCTGCATCATGTTTGGGGTTGTGAACTGTGTGAAATCCAATGTAAACTAGTGCTTTCTGTGTGCAAAAATAAATGAAGTCTTGAATGTCTAATTCTAGATTCTGTCGAGTATATAGGCGATTACATTGACACTACTTCGCAAAGATAGTTCATCTGACAAGGGCAGGAAACTGAGAAAAGATTAATGCATTTAGTCCTGGATGGATGGTCCTAGATCTAAGATGTTTTTGATATATGTACAGTTTAGAATAAGCTGGAAGAACTGCCAAGAGGTGATTTATTATTTCGATCATGAATTTCTGTACAGTTTGCTAGCATTGCTATGGTTAGCAAGTCAATGAAATGAATCAATAAAAACAACCAAAGAATTGATACATAATTGTCCTAAGCTACCTAAACCCTTCTACGGTGAAGCAACTTGAATCAATTCATCTGAGCTTCCACCAAGTTTTGTATGGAGTAATCAGAAGCCATGCACCATTTGTCAGTTTCATCAGCTTTTCTGAGAACGAATCCAGCACTACATCGTGGGGAAGTCCTCCGAGACATTAGTTTTCATTCTGATCTGTGGAGCAACAGAAATGAAGAATGGAGACAGGGAGACTACATTTGCAATGTCATCTCCAATGCATTACCGGAGCAGTGATTGAGAATGTCGTAAGATGTGATTCAAAGGCTTGTTTTGAGCTTTGCAAAGAAGATTCTTTACTCTTGCTGTCATCTAGTTATAATGTATATTATGAGTCAGTGATATTCCACTTGAAAACATCCATATGCAACTTGTTGCTATGAATACTTGTAAAAACAAACCTTTCCAATTCCTTCTGTTGCATAAGGAACAGCCCGGCGATAAGTCAATGATGTAGGTGGAGATTTCCGGCTTGTTTCTTCTCCACATGGATTTTTCCCTCGGCTGCTTCTTAATGTCATGGATGAACCATACCGTCTTTCATTTAATGAACTAGGGAAGCTTGACTCCTGATGAAATACATAGCCATGTTAAGACCCCGGACAATCAAAGCATAGAGGACCAAAAACTTGCATAAATTTGAAAAAAGACTTGCGACATCAGACTACATTGGGCACTTACCAGGATACTCCTGCTTCGGGTAGTCACATTGGGATTGGTATGCCACTTGCCGTCCAATATACTTGGGAGGCTTGATTCCTGTGGAATTATGGAAGTCACAATTAACTTTTGTCCACATAGTCATAATTATTTGACAGTATTAACATTATGACAGAAGTAGATTTAGCAGGTAGTCATGAACTAATACCAGAAAAAGGACAGTTGCACAATGTTTGAGGACTTCCAGGTTCATCCGAACATCATCAAGGCTTCTGAAAGGTAAAAAAACAGAAAATTAGCCTCAAAAGATACATTAGGTCTAGGTCCAGAATAAATAAAACTTCATATAGTCTTGTGATAGATGATCATTCACCTGTGTTTTTGTTGACCAAGGCCAAAATAAGATGCCAATGTTGCCATCTGAACAAAAACAAACAAAGAAATGGAATGAGATTCATAATGAGATTCATTATGACCAAGGACATAATTAAATGTACATGAAAATTAAAACTTAAGTGAAATTACCTTCATATTTCCAGCTCTTCTGCCAAATTTCTCTGTCAATACTCCTAATGAATCAATTATCCCAACCGGCTTAGGAGCAGGCCTAACAATCTCAGCAAAGGCTTCTTTAATCCTAATGCAGTCAAATCTTTGAATATTATGTCCTGCCCATATTCTTCCATCTAAAATGCTGAATATCTTGTCAGCAACATCCTCAAAGGAAGGCGCATCAGCAACAGCTTCGCGTGTTATTCCATCAGCTCGGCCAGACCTTACCGCGACAACATGCAAATCCTTAGGTCTAATGAGGGTACAATAGCTTTCCAACTCAACAAGTTTCCTTGGACAAACTACAATTGCACCAAACTCCAGAACCCAAAACCTCTGTCCAACCTTGTTAGGCACTGTTGTTTCTAAATCAAAGAAAACTATCTCTGAAGAAGAAGAAGAAGAAGATGTAGAAGAAGATGCATTTTCACTACTAAAATTAGACACTGCCATTTCTGTTTATTCAATCAAATGAAGCTGTTGACAATTCTCCCTAACTCTTAAACCCCCAACCCTAATCTTTCGTTGTTTATTCAATATTGCAGCTACTTGTAAATAAAGTTGAAATGATCTGCATGCCATCTCGAGTCTGCATAATATAAATGCATGGAAATGAAGAAGAAGAAGAAGAAGAACATCATTGTTTCCTTGGTAGGTGGATTGTCTTGTAGTTCAAGTAAAATGGTAAGTTTTGGATTTTGGACAAAGGTGTCCTTAGCTTCTTGTTGTTGATTAAGTCCTAGTCCTAGGTAAAGGCAATAAGTCCTAGCCCAGGGCAAGGAAAATGTAATGCTATTATTAATTCTGTTTAAATTCTGGCATTAGGCTGCGATTAAGCTTTTGGTTACTTTTTTTTTTATTAAGGGTCAAGATTGTATCAAAGAATCTTGGTTCCCTCTGTCCTGTAATAAAACTTATGTTTCCATAAAGATTTTCATAGTTGATAAATTAGTAATAACGTTATGGAATCTTTGTATAATTGGTCAAGATTCCCAAAACTGGAAATGGTTGTGTATAGTTATTGAACTTTTTGTACACCAGAACAATGTCTGGTTTGGTATATTCCAAAGAAAGCTGAGTCTTACAAGAAACTGTAGTGACCTTGGTCTTACGTTTGTGTATTACGTTACCATGTACAGTGGGACACGCAGGTAAAGCAAATTCTTTTGGAACAATGATTGAAATGCAAGCAACCTTCCTTTTTTTTTTTTTTTCTTTTTCCTTTCTCCTTTTTCTTTGTTCAATCCCTGAATTTTGTCTCAGTCACTAGGAACTTGGCGTAATTGATTCGCTGGAAATGTAGAAATACATCTTTATTGAAGAAGGGCTTATTTCTCATTACAAACGGTTGAATGGGTGAACAATGTGTTGTTCATCAGGTATACAAAGATACGGAAAGGATAGAGTCACCCACGTTCAAATTGTTGAGATCTTACATAATGTACAATCAAATGTAGAACATCAGAGCTGGCTAAGTTTATGATTGGAACATGATAACTGTTTTGCATCCATCCTATCTTGCAATTGCGATATACTAACCAGTACAGATTTAGACTGGGACAGCAGACTTAATGTGTACCAATGCCTTCCTAATCCTCTCAACTGCAGCCTGCAGAGTGGAAAGGGCAGCTGCATACGAGATACGGATGCAGGTATCATCTCCAAATGCATCTCCAGGAACAAGAGCAACCTGAGGAGGAAAAAGAAGAAACAAAACAAAAGAACAGACCATAAGTGCCACAAGAGAAAACCTACCTGCCAAAGACAAAAAAGGATGTACTACAGCTTTAATGACTAGTCACCATTTGCGTTGAAATCCAAACATTTTAGTCCCAGACATTTAAGGACTTGATCTGCAACTTCAATCATTTGTTCATGTTATAGGGCTTTAGTTTACAAAACGTTGCACATGCTGAAAAGTACAATATGCTGAGATAGGGACGAGATGTCTGAAAGTCACAGATAATTAAGAAAAGCATTTTCCTAAAATCTCAGCCTCTTGGCTTTCTTCAGAAAGGCATCCTGCTATTCCCACCAAAAATGATATGAAATAGTTTTGTAATAGGATACTGTTCAGTCCCCATATCTAAGCTATAAGCCTCAGCATGTAAATGATACTTAAAAAGAACAATGTATTAGAAAAATATCCAGGAAAATTCTTACTTGAGCCTTGTCCAGCAGATATCGACATAAGGATTCAGAACCACTTATCAAACCAAAGCCATCAACTTCTACTCCATAATAAGAGCTGAAGTCAAGGAAGAGATAGAAAGCTCCCTAAAGATAACATGGACAAATGCAAATTAGAAACACGGAGAGACAAAATGGCAACCAAAATAACTTGTATGAGACGAGAACAAGATGAATTTGAACAGCTTACCTGAGGTTCCGAAATTTTCACACCATTCAATTCCCCAAAACTTTTAACCAGAAAATCTCGACGTTCACGGAATGCTTTCACCATTATTGAGACTGCTTCTCCACCGGCATATCCCAGTCCTAGGGCAGCAACTGCTGCCTTTTGAGATATGCTACTAGCCCCTGAAGTAAACTGCACAAAGAAAGCACCTAATTTAGGCAAAGATAGACAGGACACTGCTATAATTTCAAGTATATCTTGCTCCCGCATACAAACACTGTTCGACAATCTTAGCATGTTAAAGCATACTGTTATAAGACGGAATGAATACAAATTCTAGTTACATTTACAGTGATGTTAAATCCGAACTTACACGTAAATCCAAGCTTCAATATAGTTGAACCTCATCTTCTTAGAGATGTCTTTACAACATATTCTAAACCTTATATTCTTTAAATGTGAAGCAGCTGTTCAATTTGTCTAAATATCATCAACTGCTTATATCCACAAGGATCAACAGTTTTCATGCGACATATTGCATTAGTAAATTAACAATCTGAGGTCAAGGTAGTTTAATCAATCAATAAATTCAATAAAGATAAAACTCAAATAAATTCCAAGAGAAGTAGCAAAAGAATGCCTTATTAATTTGTCTCCAATATAACTAAGAATGTGCTGTTAATTAAAAGCTCCCTCAAGTAATCAATTTGCTCTAATGCTAAACGGTCAGGGTAGAAAACTAGTGCAGACTTAGAACTTCAGCTCTAAACATCTTATCTGACAGCAGGAGTTTTTTCCAAAAAGCAGAAGAAATTTGGAACTGAGCACACCTGGCTTTGAATCTTATTACAGGCAGATACGAAGTGAGTGGGACCAGCAATATACCCGAGTCTCCAGCCAGTCATTGCAAAAGCCTGTTGAGATCCATCATAGACATATTAAGTTCAAGAGACTGTTTCCAAAGTAATAAGCAAAACCAGGAAGCTGAGAAAACATCATGCTGCCCATCATTTCATGCAATTAAAACAACCAACCTTTGAAAATCCATTGACGGTCAAAGTCCTGTCCCACATGCCTGGCAGAGATGCAAAACTCGTGTGGGTTGCGGGAGAATAAATAATGTGCTCATAGATTTCATCAGACAGCACCTAAAATGAGAGGAGTCCACATTTAGTAAAAAGATTACATTTGATGTACTGAAGCTACTTAGAAAAAGTGGACTTACTAGAAGCCGAGGATGCTTAGCTACAATCCTGGCAATCTCCTCGAGCAAATTATGAGGATATACAGATCCTGTCGGATTGGATGGGGAGCAGAGAATGAGCAGTCTCGACTTTTCATTTAGTTTGGACTCAAGAAGCTTTGGATCTAACAAAAAGTTTTCAGATATCCTAGTTGGAAGAACAACCGGGTTAGCATCAGCCAACCTTGCCATTTCTGGGTAGCTCACCCAAAAGGGAGCTGGAATCAAGACCTGGCAAAATGCAAGAGTAATTTAACGTTCATACATTTGAAGTCTATAAACATTGAACTTGCAATCAGACATTGCATCTTTTGTTTTACATTTCACATTTAAGTTACATTTTTATCACACCAAATACACATTTGCATCTGGGTCTTTCAATATTTCACGAGGGCACATTGAAAAGAGGAATCTATGGTATGAACTAAAAATCTCAAAAAAATAAAGCACTGCAAAAACCAACCAAGGTACTACTGACGAAAATGAAAGGATCAATGATTTCTCATCCAACCTCAAAATGAAGAACAAAGTTCCTGCACATGCTCATGTGGACCAACAACAATACTATTAAGACCACGGCAGGTATTTTCAGGCACAATTTTCCAGATACAACACAAAATAGTAAAGAATTTTCAACAAATTGAAGATCCAGTAACTTCCAGTTCATACCTCATCCCCAGGTGAGCAAACGGCAAGAACAGCCTGAAGAATACTTTGTTTTGCCCCATTACTTACGAGTATCTGATCAGGTGTGTAAGATAGTCCATTCTCCTCTGTCATTAAATAAATTTTTGAATGAAAATGGTAACGCAAAAAACAGGGAGACACTACAGATTCAGAATGTAATACCTTTCAACTTATGACAAATAGCAGAACGAAGTTCCATCGTTCCAGCATTTGGAGTATATCTAGTATAACCTTCACGGATCGCATTGATCCCTGCCTAATAATGGATTCAGAGCAATAAAGAAAACACAAAAGGTTACTCTCAAAACCATAACAAGTTTAGTTTACTTAATATCTCATTTGAAAAGCCTAAATTAAACCTCTGCTATCACAGATGGAGTATCAAAATCAGGCTCCCCGGCAGCTAACCGAATAACAGGAACTCCGGCTTGTGCAAGCGCAGTGGCTTGGTCAGTGATAGCAACTGTCTTTGAAGGTTTTACTGAATTTACCCTCGGGCTAAGAGAAATATCAACCTCCATTGAATCTGAACTTCTCTCAGCTCTCACAACAACACTTAATTCATGTGAATAGGACACTCTCTTTGAACCTGTATTTCTGACCAAGCATTAAAAGACAGAGTGAATCAACTGTGAAAGGCAGAAACATTACATCCATCCAATCCAATCGAGGATGTCCAGCAAATCAACCAATTAAGAGAGAAAGATGGCAATAAGCAATAAAGTTGGCGAATCAACCAATAAAAAGAGAAAGATGGCAATAAACAATAAAGAGGGTGAAAACAGTGAAACCTTATACCAATCAAAAGATTAAGATGGAAAAAAACAACAAAGAGAGTGTTGGATATTGTTGTAAATATCAACAGTATTCCGAATCTAAATCATACGTGCACAAAATCAGATGGGAAAGAAATAGTTTTCCATTGAATTTCATGATAGTTGAGTAAACATAAAACCGCAATAATGATCCAAGGGGAGAATCTCCACGGAATTAAGACAAAATGGAACCTCTCAAAGAAACAGGAATCAGAGAAGACCAGATGTGGTCAAAGAACAAATGGAAGGGAGAAATTGGTCTATATCTTAAAAAACAAGTTCAAATGGTTTTCATTTCTATTCTTCTTACAATAACGCAGGCCAATATGTTCTACAACAAATCCCAGATTTAGTACCAACTAACAAAGCCTGAATCATCGAAATCAAACAGAAATGGCACAACCCAAACAATAAGAACACGTTTTCCTTCTCTATTTGCACAACAAAACTCCCAAGTTCCTGATTTTATTATCATAGCACGATGATCAAAATTGAACAGACCATTTTAGCTTATATCACTCAAAACAGAAAAAGTCATCACAAATTTATATAATCTGCATAACCCTTTTCCCCAATACATCAAACAAACAGATTTCTGGACTAATGCACAACCAAACAGCTGGAAAAAAAAAACTAAATAAATCCCAACATAATAACAAAAGTAAAGAAAGAAGCTTACTTTACAGATAAACTGAGACTCTGAAGTTGAGAAGAGAAGGAGAGTGATCTAAAGCTGTGGGAATCAGAATGAATTCTGAGGGAATAATCATTCACAATAGGGGCCTGTTTGGAAGCAATGCTTGATGAGTTAACAGCAGCAGCAGCCATATTGGAATGAAATTCCAATCCCCAAAACCAACCTTAAATTTGATGATGACCAAAAATGGATAGGAATCCAATAAAGCCCACCAAACTTCTCATATACTGGCTGCCTGGGGTTGGTGGGGGAAAAAAAGAGCAGAAGGTGTTTGGTTTGAACTTTGGTAGTTGGTGAACTATTTAGGGATATTATCAAAATTCCCCCATAATTTTAGTTTAATCTCAAAATAGGCCCCAAAGTTTCTGAAATATCTAACATGCCCCTGCACTTTAACCGCCCTCCATCATTACGAGATTTTGGGAGGGTTTATGTTATTTTCTTTCTGCCTCCGCCTCCACCGCCTAAGAGAACTCACCGCCACCAGCTCCTCCGCCGGCAACTGTTTCACTTGGGAAACGAATTCAGGTTTTTTGTTATTCTCTTCTCTTTCGCTTTGTTTTTAGCTTTCAGCTAATCGTTATCATTCTTGGTTTGAGCTTTTATCGCTGTGTCCTTTCAATTTTTATTGGAAGTTTTGATTGCGAAAGTTGCACGCGTAAATTAATCTCCGTTTATGGAATGGCAAAATTGAACCGATAATGTTGAAGCTCAGTTTCTCTGTGGCGTTGTGATTTGATATTTTCTTACCATTTTGAAATTGTACAGCTTTTTAGGAACGCTTTGAGAATAGTAATTTAGGGTTTTAGATTTGGCGATGGGGAAGAAGAGGAAGAATCGGGAGGCGAGTAAGAAGACCAAGGGTCCTCGACTGCCTAATGCCCTGCGGAAGGAAATCGAGGCGCTTAACCCTACGGCTCAACCTTCTTCTGATGATGAAGAAAACAACAGTAACTTAAATGAAGGGATTGCCATTGCCGATGACGTTTATGAATATGAAGAAGGGGTTCCTGAGGAAGAATCCAGGAAGAACAGACGTTACGATACAGTCAAGAACTACGAATACGAACCCAATGAACGTGGCATGGTTGTTAATTCTCTTCCATTGAACTTCATTTGTTGCCTGCTTGTCGGATGATATGCTTTTAGGAGTGTTAACTTTTTTGGATTTGTGATTGTTTAGGATGAAGAGGTAGCCTCAGATGAAGACAATGATGGAGGAGATGATGATGATGATGATGATGACGACGACGACGAGGACGGAAGGCAGTCAAGGATGCTGCGAAACATTACTGGATTGCCTGCTGATGCTTTTAATGGTACTAATGATGCCAGACTTTTCTTTCTTATTTCGATGCTCTCTCTTAGGCATTGTTATATATAAGTTGTGTAAACAACTGTAATATATTGTAGAAAGAGTACTTTGTTCTCTGAGGAACTTTGATGTGCTCAACTTAAAAAAGTAACAGAAATGAGGCTGAACTGTTTTTTTTTGGTTTAATGTGTGCAAGGTAAGAGTAGGAAAAATGATTTTATCATTTCTGAGGCATATCCGGAATCGGAATTCAATCCAAGTCGGGATGTACTGGAGGGTGATGGACGCATCAGCATAGAAGACCTTTTGGATCCACTTCGTGAGACATCCAATTACAGTAAACTTAGGAGGGATGTCGCTCGAATGGAAAGAAAGCCGTCCTCCCTTCTACCACCTCTCCCTAAACCAGATCAACAGAAAGTAGAAAGGGCTGTAGCCTATCAAGATACCAAAAGGCATATTACTAACTGGGAACCTGTAGTCAAGAGGAACAGAGAAGCGCCTACTATTTACTTTGATGAAGACACGGATATTGGGTTCTCCACTGTGGGAGCCATAGCTTCTGAGTTTGAGCCGAGGAGTGATTTCGAGAGGAAAATGGCATCGTTGCTTAATCATAATGAAATTGTTGAAGCTCACAAAAATGACGGTGCCAAACTTCTTGAACTAAACAAGGTGAGCTGATCAGCCAAATATATCTGGCTAACTCTGTGTATCTTTTTCGTTTTTTGACCGTTATCTTTGAGTTCTTCTGATGATTTTGTTTTTGTAACTCCCAAGAGTCGGTCTTTTGAACCTTTTTTTCATTTTGCATCACCCTTCTGACAGATATCAGTTGATGAAGTAAGGGATCAGCAAAATCGACTTGCAAAACTGCGTAGTCTTCTCTTTCGCCATGAAATGAAATCAAAACGGATAAGAAAGATAAAGTCTAAGACATACCATCGCATGTTAAAGAGAGATAAACTGAAAGCAACGGCTTCAGCTATGGAGATGGACCCAGATGCTGCTAAAGAACTTGCAATGAAACAGGAATTCAAGAGAGCAGAGGTAATATTGCTAATGTGCGTTCATTGACACTGTTTGATGATTGTTTGGGGTTAATGTCTTAACTTGAGTCCTTCTGTTTGTCATGCTTTCACTTCACAGGAGCGCATGCGTCTGATACACAAGAACAACTCGAAATGGGCTAAACGCATTATGAAGCGCGGTTTAGATGTCCAGGATGAAGGGACTCGAGCTGCTATATCTGAACAACTCCATCAGCATGCCATTTTGACCAGGAAAATGAATTCTCTGAAGGATAGCAGTGATGAGAGCAGTGATGAGGATGAGTCTGATATTGATTTTGGCCCAGATGATCCAGCGGCATTATTAAAGAAAGCCAAGGAGAAAACTCTTGAAGCAATGGAAGAGGATGAAGAGTTGCCAATTTCGGGAGTTGCATCTTTGCCTTTCATGGTAGTACTCTGATTCCCTCGTGATTTGGAGTTTGTTTTTTATTTTGTATTTCCCTTATATAGGAATGTTAAATTGTCACATACTTCTGGATTGAACAAGAGTGTTGGAATGTGTCACCTTTTCTTTGTTAGACTTGGTTTATGAATCTGCTTCTGATGTAACAGGTTCGTAGTTTGAAAAAGAGAAAAGAAGAAGCTGACAGGGAAGCAAGGGCTGCTCTGGAAGATTACGATCGTTCGTTGAAGCAACTTGAAGACAAGGATGAGGAACAAAATACAAATCCTGATGTTGTCAGTGGGAAAAGAGCTTTTGGACCTACTAAAAAGCAAATTAAAAAGGTTCAAGATTCTAGTGACAAAATGAGGTCTGATAATTTTTATGGTCATAGTGATAGTGAAGATAGCCTAGAAGGTGTGGAAGATGAGCAGAATCAAAGTTATAACGAGTCTTTTGAAGATATCAATATTGATCATAATATACTACGCAATGAGTCTGAAATTGGTCATGATGCACTCTTTAAGGTGACGTCCCATACTCTGTTTGTCCCATGTTCAGTAGAATTATTTTCTTTCTGATCTGATTAGGTTGCTCTTATCCCTTTTCAGAGTTTTGAGGATATTGTTAAGAATCCAGGCCCCAAAACCACACATGAAGTTGCTATTTTTGCATCCAATTCATGGCAAAAGGTTTGCTTTCTCCATAAAGCTATGTGCTTTGTTTGGCTTACCAAACATTCTAATAGTGTGGTTTCTCGTTCATTTTGTGTGACAACAGAAGAAAAATTTGCCAGAAGGCTCAAATCAGCAGACTGGAGCTCAGGATGGTAAACTTTCTGACTCTCCAAAAAACAGCATGTCCCACTTACACAGCCAAGATATGGAGGTACATCCTTCACTTTGTTATTATAATGATATGTTGCATATACAGCACCACACAGGAACGTTTTCGCTTGAACATGTGTTTATATTTCCTACATTTTGTGTAGGGAGACGATATAGATAGTGACTCGGGCAGTGAAGGACAGATGGTGGATGGGATTTTGTCTTCTGGCCCCCGTTCCACGTATGAACTTCCATCCCAAGAAGAACTGATTCGGCGGGCGTTTGCCAGTGATGATGTTGAGGAGGAATTTGAAAAAGATAAAGAAGAGGTTCTGAATGAGGAAAATCCTGAACCAGAGAAACCATCTCTACTCCCAGGGTGGGGTCAGTGGACTCACATACAGGAAAAGAAAGGAATTCCTTCCTGGATGCTGAAAGAACACGAAATTGAAAAAAAGAAGAGAGAAGAAGAAGTTAAAAAGAGGAAGGATGCAGATCTAAAGCATGTTATTATATCTGAAAAGTTGGATAAGAAGGTTTGTTTACTTTTCTCTTCATATGTTCGGAGCAACTATCCAAATCTGGTCTCTGTTTTGCTTCGCTTACTTATTGATGCAATTACTTGGTGTTGGCAGGCGGAAAAACTTTATACAAAGACATTACCATTCCCATTCACATCCAAAGAAGTTTTTGAACAGAGCATCCGGATGCCTATTGGCCCAGAATTTAATCCTGCTACAGCAGTTGGAGCACTGATACGTCCAGAAGTGAGTTTCTAAAGCTGTCTAGCTTTCAATTCTATTGCCTTTTTTCCCTGTTCAGATGTAGTTTAGGACTTGGTGCGATATGTATTACGGTATACGTCAACGGTCCTTTCCCTTTTGGTGATTGTTTGATTGTGATCTGCAGCTCATCTTTTTGAGTTTTATTTTTGTCAGGTGGTAAAGAAACCTGGTGTGATCATAAAGCCAATTAAGCACAAGGATATCAATCCCCATGAAAGGTCGGAGGACAAAGGAAAAAGAAAACACAAACCGCAGAAGAGCAAAACTAAAACCAATTCCACCATTTCTGGGAAGTCAAAAGTGACATTTTAGTTTTTTTTTTTTTTATACATAAAAATATATATTAAGAGTTCCGAGTATTAAATTCGAACAACCATGAATTGATGTTTGAAACAATAATTTCTGTCACAGATTGTGATTTTTGTTCTTTCACATGTAGAGAAGAACCATGTGCGGCTATTAGTGTCTCATTTGTTTTATTAGTTAGAACTAGCCCATCTCTTATGCAGCTTGGATTAGTACAATTGTATGACATAGCAACAAAGGTTTTGAAATTGAAAAGGTAATATAAATTAACCATTCTGGAAAGGAATTTTTTTTCTGTAATGTTGATAAATTTTATGTCAGTAGAATTTTTTAACTTTTGAAATAGAAATCTTATGGATAATGAAAATTTGGGAGTAGTAATATCGTATTTGCTACAATTTCTTTGCCCATAGAAATTTGCATGAGAACCAGTTGAGTTTCAAAAGCCAAATTCTTTGTATCAGATCAAATACCTGTTATATCAAAGGAACCAAGGAAAGTATTACTCAAGTTGAACTTGTTTCTGGATACATTTTTTCGCTTCAAACTGTCGTGGAGTCCAAAGGAGCTTAGTTGGTGAGGGATTTTCACAAGTTATATTGACATTTTCTATAGTAATCGGATTTTCCATGATACCTTTCATCACGTTCCATAAGGACATTACTTAGCTTAATAATATCCGATTCTTGTAACAAGATATTTTGATTTACTTCGAACTGAAAGTAAAACTTTAAAAATATAATTTTATATTTATTGTATTCTATCAATTGTTATAAAGGATTTTTGAGGTTTTATTATTAATTGAGAAAATAGGATTAATAAAATTTAGCTGAAATCAAAATATCTTATAATAAGGATCGGATAGAGTACTTGACAGAGAACATGTAATAACATAAACATTTCACCAAATCTTTTTTGGCCATCCTAATCATCATGTGCTCTAGTTTAAAGATTATATCCTCTGTATGCTTAGCGTAACATCCTCAAAGAACGCTAATTAAATCAGTTGAGTTGTAGCTTTCAAATTGAAATCATTTAGCTAAAAACGGGCTTTAGCTGAAGGTGCATCTGGATCTGGTTATTTTTGGAGCCTAGGAAGTGAGCTCTATGTTATACCTATTTGGTGCCAAGTCTATTAATGGATAAACAATAATTTGATCCATTTATGTTGGGAGTTTGGGCCTTTGCTCCAAAATGTATCTTGTTTCTGTCTTCAACTAAAAGGAGTATGATTTGTGTTTTTTAAACTGTACTTGTGTCAATTTACTTAAGAGCGATGAAATTCCACTTTACAAATTTAACTTTACTCCCATCTCAACTTACATGTTTATCTAGTTGATATTTCACATCATCTTCTTAATAATAATTAAACTCTCTGTTCTCTGCATCGACACTGAGCGTAATATCATGAGGCAATCTATATATTTGATCAGTCTTTTCCGGAGCGATATTAATTAGCTATGAGTGATCATAAATTTTATGTTAATTTTTAGGGTATTCCTTTACATGACACCCTTCAATTCTCTCACAATAACCTGATAAACAATTTATTACTCCAAAACACATGCTCATGGTTGGAGATTGGACGGACAAGTTTATTCACTCCAAACATGATTTATGTTAGAAATTATTGTATCTTAGTAGGGAAAAATAAGCAATTATTAGAGCACAAAAATAATCAATGGAAACATACTCAAGATGCATGAAACTGTAACAAAAGAAATACATTAAAACGACTTCTTGTGGCCACCTGGACAAAGACCATTTGGCCAACTGGAATCTCTCAAAAATTGGCGTATGCCACTATTTGCAGCTTGTACACGTATTCTTTAGTAAAAGGCAAAAGAATAGTTCGCTTTGAGCTAATGTATTAGTTTATATACACTAATGTTGGGAATTTATCTGGAGGAGAAAACCCGACCTGAAACTCAATATGTAAGATAAAACTCATTTGAATCCAAAAATTCAAGTTAATGAGTCTTGAATTAATCTTACTTATTAAGTGATTCACATATCCTCATTTTTTCGATATAGGATTCACACCCTTTGCCATATGACCCTCAACAACTAAGAGGCGTGAAGCTTATGCAGCACCGATGTGGGGACAAAATTCTGTTGGTGTTTTACTGACTACTACATTTTGCAGTCAATACCAAATCTCAATATAAAATCAAGATTTTTGTTCCACTCTGTCCTTAAATTGGCCGAAAAGATTGCTCATTAATTTGTTCTGGTTTCCCTAATTAAGGCTCGTCTGTGCTTTCATCTTCCAGTTTTGAACATCAAAAAAATAGGAACTGCTGAATGAATGTCCCCCTCATAGTAGAGGATCTTTGATGTAAATCAAGTAAACACCACCAACTTGCATAAATTATGTTAGCCTCCAAATATTTAATTTTATTTATGTAATACAGATGCTTTGGAGTTGAAACCCTTAATTGAAAATGGATATCTTAAATTATTTTTGAATTGGCTTGATCATTTATCCTTGGAACTTGGAAGTAGTAGAAGTCTGTGATTAATGGACTTGGACTGCACGGGTAGACCTGGAAAATTCATCCGGGGCAAAGCCTTTTAAGGCATGGTTTAGAGTTTAGACTCCTTCCTCTGTACCACATGCATTATCCAAAAATTATTCTCTGTTTGTAATATTTCTTCTGTTTTAAATTTATTATTTGTACTAAAAATGAAAATTTAAACTGGACAATTAAAGAGAATCCTAAATTCTGAAATGAAGTATTCATCACTTTCATCTGTTGTAATATTTATACTTTTTCCGCTTCAAAATAATCTTCTTATTTATTGTACTATTTTAAGACACAGTGAAACAAGGGAACTTTTTCCCCCTTGGTAAAGAGAAAAAATAGTCTTGTCAATCCATATAATGATTTATGTCTAGTGTAGCATGCGTAATTGATATTACATCTGAGCCATAAGAAACATACTACTAAATAAAACCATGGATATTTTTTTTATTTTCTTTCCTTTTTGTGGCATAAGAACAGACTTTGAAAGGCGGCTTTTGCAGTCAAGGCCTCATTAGTCCAAAAGATTAGTTAAATGCTGAGGTAGTATTATACTCCTTCCAAAATAAGTGTAATTTTAGAGTTTACACGCAGTTTAAGAAACTCTTAATTAAGGTAGCTAAAATACTAAAATATCCTTAATTAACCCCATTAAAATAAATGCTCACCAATAATATTATTTCTTTTGAGGGTATGTTTAGAAATTTTTGACAAAAAATGCATTGAAATCCGAAAACGATACTTATTTTGAAATTTCTCTATTTTGCTAAACGATACTTATTTTAGAACGGAGGGATTATATTTTTTGGGTTTTTTTTTATTCATTTCAGAGGAGGATAAATGCTTCTTGCTCTAGAACGCTGTTGAAACTTGAAAAGGTCATTTACGTTATAAAAAAAGAAGTCACAAGATATTGTCAACTGTTGGTTGAATGATGACATTTTTATTGATGTATAAATCAGAGTTTGCTCCATGCATAAGTACACATCACATATAAAGCTAGCTCAGATCAATCAGGTTTGATCACACTGAACTAAATTTCTCAAAAACCTGGCCAACATCAATATGGCTCCAAAAGCTTCCTCAATTTCTGTTATTTTCATTCTGTTCTTGATCATCCTTCTCTTCAATGTATTCCATACATCCATGGCTGCCAGACAGATGTTCTTGAACTTCGGGCCTGTTGTTTTCCTAGGCCGGTAAGTCTATGTCACTCGGTCCATGATAATAGTTTTTTGTACTTTTTTTCCTCCACTTTTTAACGTTTTAATTAAGATTGAAAGACAAAAATGCTTCTGAGAATATGCTCCGACACTTTTCTGAATTTATGTTGCTTGAAGAGAAAGTAAGGAACCATTAAGTTCATGTGCTATATATGTGTAGATAAACGGCCGATTTCTTCATTTGATTTATTTATTTTATTGATTGTTTTTTTTGGTTTTCTATTTTCAGAGTTCCAGGAGACAAGTCCCCTTCAGGGCAGATTCATCATTAGGAGCTACCCTACACTTCTTCATTCTCCAAAGAAAACGCACTGTAACAGAGTTTTAAGAAAATAATCTCTGGAGTTATAGTCCTTAATTAATTAGATCCTTATCAGTATCCCCATTTTCCAGTATTGATATAGTTCACATTGTTTAACTGTTATTAAAAAAACTAGAAGATCATCCAGTCTTGTTTTATTACATTCTGATAACTCATATACATGACGAGTCCTCAATGATTCCTAGTATTTTTGTTGTATCATCAACAATATTTACCTTCTTTCCATAAGAAATCAGTTCTGCTGCTCTTAGGACTAGGACAGGTTTGTTAAGATCATATTCTTGAAATAATATATAAAAAGGAATGAACTTTTACATTTTCCAATAACTATGTCGACTCTTTCTACTTCAAAGTCCACAACAGAACGTACTTAAGGCGTTACAAAAACAGGTAACTATAATTATATTGTAAGTTCAAAATATTTTGACATTTTGAGAAATGACCGTCTATACAGGTGTCAAATTGTGGCGGGAGAACAATGTAATCGGCTTTAATTACTTAGAAGTAATTTTGTTATTTTTACTACAAGCGAATAGGAACTCAAGTGGGCTTTCATAAATTGTATTATCTCTGTCCTGAAATGATTGTCCAATTTTTATTTTCATATTCATGTTTAGCACGTACTAGAAATGAAAATTGAAGCGAAACAATAATTTAGAAACAGATGGAGTAATTAGAAGCCGAAAGCATAGAAGAATAAATAGCCCATTTGTGTTTCTTCTTTTTTGTTTTGGAAATTTTAATTTAATTAATGGAAAACAAACTATTACAAGGGCAAAAACGATCCATGTTGAACACGGCTTGTTGACATGGTAACACATATCAACTGTACAAAGATCATAAAAAACTGAGATTATATCCAAATTATTCTCTATAATCGTCTAAGTTCTCTTCTCTGTGTTCTTTTGATTTGGTTAGCAAGTGCATCCGATTTGAAAGTCCATTGAGTGATTCTGAAATATTTCTTTGGTTTTCTTTCTTCGCATCTCCATTGGCTATCGTCGGATAAAGTCTAGGAGTAAGCCCGAGAGCCAGGTGGATGAGTGAAGTGAGTTAGCACCACTCACCTGAATATTCTTACTCTCTGTCTCTAAATTATTGTCCAATTTGAGATTTTATTTTTAGTATAATTTGAACTAAAAATGAAATCTCAAACTGGACAATAATTATGGGTAGGAGAGAGTAATTTTTATAGTACACAATTTGGAAG